AATAGATTTTTTTAAAATTTTAAGTTAAAAATGATAATGGGTCTTATGAATAAAAGTTAAGCAAATGTTGATACTTAAATTTCTTGAAATAAACTTATACAATTTGTAAACAACCAACAAAGATAGTTCTATAGAAAAAGCAATTGCTTCTCTTTATTCATCAGGCCCAATATATTCATAATATGGCAACATAGGTAGTAGATTAAAATTACAAGAAAAAAAAACCAGAAAAAATACAGTGGTTTTCAAAATTTAGCCAAAAAATTGAAAAGAAAAAATATGTTTCTTTTATCGAGATCTACCAGCCCTAAAAATATTTGCACTTATTTAAGACTCACCCTGTATATTTAATAATTGTTTTTATTTAAAGATAAATTACTGTTTGGAGTTGGAACCTTTGGTGTTTTATAACAGGAAAATAAAACACTGATTTACCACAATACACCAAAGCACATTTACTTTTGCACTGGACGCGCGTTTCGCTAACCATGTTAGCATCATCAGCAGATTATTGATCTTGTTAACATGGTTAGCGAAACGTGCATCCAGTGCAAAAGTAAAAGTGTTTTGGTGTATTGTGGCAAAATTAGTTTTTTGTTGTGCTAAAGTAGATAAAGCAATGCTGCCATGAAATATGTAGAGGTGTCGTTCATAGCAACATGTCCAAAGCATCACAGGATTGATTGGTGTAATGCGGTTTAATTTTGTGACCAGCCTTCTCTTAGTTTTTAGTTCCTCAATAATGAAAATGTTTGTTCATCCATGGTATTCGCAGCAGCTATCGATATACCCACATATATAGCGTTTTTTTCTTTCTTCCATTGTATACATAAGTCAGCGAGGGGGAAGATGAAGGAGTTCGCAATTCGCAGTTTAGTGTTTCGTGTGATTGCTGTAGCCTTCAATATTTTAGTCAGAGCATGTGCTTCTTTTATTATCATAATTTATATAAGAACAATTTTCTGTTTGTCTTGTAAAAATATATCCAATACTTAAGAGTACCATAAGATGTGGCACTGAAGTTTCTGAAATTAACTAGAGGTTAAATGTGGTTGTTATTAGGGTTTCCATAAAGGCTTTTGGAAATTCCGGACAAGTGAACTCAGAAATCCGGACAAAACCCGGACGTCGCAAAAAAGAAACTATAAATTTATTTGTGAACTTTTATAGGACGCAAATAAGAGCTCCGGAATCAACAAAATATAAACCAAAAAACATTCACTTTCCAGGAGTGCACCAAAAGTGAAAAATTTGAGCGCCATGTATAGAAATGGGTACTTTCAAACATGCCTCGGTTAAGTAGAGCTGTAGCATCTTAGAAACTAAAATATTCAACAAAGTAACTGAGAAATTAATTCAACTGTATCTGTAAAATATTTTACTAAGTTGTTGCATTCTTCGCCATTGCCATTCTGCCCCTTATTTCAGTCTCGCGTTCTTCAAAAGGGCTCTTTGCTTATCATTCCCTAGTACAGAAAACCGCATATTTTCTAGGCTTTCGCACTGATTTTGATTATATTTTTTATTGATATAAAATTTGAATAATACAAGAAATACGGGTAATGTAAAATTATATAAAGATTGATGATGATCCATAATTTTGCTAAAACATTGTATTCTCGTTTAAAAATAGAGTATAATTGACAAAAATTAAAGGTTATAAAATGCCCTCAATATTAATATAAATGAGGTCTTCTACTGAGAATAACATGACAGATTTCTTATTTTGTCACATAATTCTGGGAAAATTTAGACAAGAGACTATTAGAAAACGGTATAACAATGAGTTTTGAACGAAGAATAGAAAACCAAACGCATGCGAAACCGTGTTTCTATTCTCATATCAATTACTCTAATTACTTTGCAGTACAAGGTCGTTTATTCGGGAATGACATTCATTTGCGATGAGAAAGTAATTTTATGCCTTTTAAAGGTTTTTATATGGCGTTTTCTATCGAACGGTAATAAGAGTTTAATTCTATAGAAAGTCCCTAATTCGATAGTATGTCCCCGGATTGCCTTTACAAGGGGAAAAACTTTTTTATTATTGATATTTTGAGAAAAATGCATTCTTCATAAACATTTTTGCTTGTTCTAAAATGGTTAATCCCGTTTATACTTTTCCAAATTTCCATACCGTTTTAGAGAAAATTAAGAAAAACATGAAAATATCGTTGACGTTGTTTTCTGTCTATTGTTATATTATAAAGTAAATAATGAATATGCTTTTTTTTCATTCCTCAAGTAACTTAGTAGTTATATCGCATGTTTTACGCCTCCTATAGAGCAAAATGTTTAAATATATATTACAATAAAATAAAATATTTATTTAAGACTTTTGTTGTTTTTATTTTTAATGAATGAATTGTCTAAAGTTTCCATTGCTATAAAATTTGAATTCTCTATCAAATACCACTCATTGATTAACTCTATTCAAGGATGGAGTTTAATACTATTTATTTATTTGTGCATTAGAACCGGATTGAACGTAATGGAAAATATAATTTTATGTTTATGTGTATTTGAATTTTGGCGAATTTGTTGAGCTTATCTGAGTTTATTGTATAAAATGTATATTACTTCTTGTTTAATTTATAATTAGTTATATGCAAAGTGTACGAATTTGGAAAGAGATTGTACCAGGATTTAATTATTAGTGAGATTATTGTGAATCTTAAATGAGGCTTCAGTTTGCAATTATTTGTGCAGTGTGCGATGATTCCCAGATAACAAAAATCATAAAAAATAAAAGAACAGTTTTTAATTAGTAAGTAGTTACATATTACGAGTAGTAAATCTATCAATTATCTCAAATTCATCTAGAGAAATTAAGTATCTCATTTCAAACTAAGAATCTCATTTCTTTTTTTGTATGTTATCCTCCTACTTTTTTCTCGGGTAATCATTCAAAATAATATTAAAGAAGTTTGTCTAGCAGTAATTCATAAACTTTGAATTATTCTATAAAATCAGATAATATCAAATTGATTAATTTTAGTTTTCTAACGACTTGTGTTTCCGACTTTCGTTATAATTCAAATTTCAACTTTAAAAATGTCAAGATTTTACCAATGCTTCGTCACAATCATATTTTTGTCAATTTTACACATATTTTATTTTTTATCTCAAAAACTATTAGAGATAGGTATAGGTTAGTATATAGAAAAATTATGAGATATAACAGTAGTTTCCAAAAATGTAATAATATACTGGGTGTTTCATTTAAAATAACAAAGATGCGACCACTTTTCAAGTTATCCGGCAACACTGTAACGCTGATAATATTTTAGATAGATGAAGCAGATGGCTTTATAAAAAAATACATTTTCAAAACCATCCCTATCCCATTTACCTGTAGCGGGTAGACAGCTAACAGCTAAACAGCTTTTAATCCATAAAGATATTTGGAAACTTTTATTTTTTTTCTTTCATTATAAGTTTAATACTTTCTATTTAATAGTTTTTCCTTTAATTCATTATAGCTACCTAACATTCAAAATTTGAAGTTCGTAACACTTCTAGATGTATCATTGCGATAAAAAAGTAGTATAACAAAATATTATTTAATCTGCTGGTCTATATAATAAAGTAAAATAAAAAACTTGAAAAATTGTCCATTTTTAAATGGTAGATAAATTTTTATACTTTTATTTCGCCACGTATATACCTACCAATTATTACCAAATTCATGGTAACGCCTAAAAAGTTAGGGGGCATAATTGTATTGTTTGGTTTGGTTTTCTACTTCTCGATATCCTTATAGACCAGGAGTTCTATCTGGGACTACTAATTCTTGTACTACTTTTATTTGATCGCAATGTTACCTTAGAATTTTGATGACGGTGAGTGATGAGTCACTGTCGAAGTCAAAGAAGTTTGAGTGGCACTAATTCATAATCCTTGAATTATTGTTGTTACATTCATATAGAAATAAAATCAGAAGAGACCCCTTCGACTAATTCTGTTTTTCTACCTTTTTCCCGACAGGAAAGTCATTTACAGGTAGCGGCCAGAGAGCTACCTTTTAATCCATAAGGCTGTTTCGAGATTTTTCATTTTTTCCTTTGGTTATAAGCTTAAAGCTTGATTTTCATGCATCCGTTATACGTTGATACGATGGTCCGACGGTGCTCTGATTGGTCATAGCGTTTTCGCGCCACTTTTCATCCGTAAATATTTTACTTCAGCCCGTCAACGGACCCGTTCATACGATAACGGACGTTTTGACACTTTTTTGACAAATTTAATCTAACCTTAATAAAAATATAAGTAAAATAGCAAAATCGTTATGGAAACGAAAATATAAAATGACACCAACGTATATCCGATAAACGGAGGCATGAAAATGCAATAAATTTAAAAACTGCGTTATTTTCTAATCAATACAATGCGTTACCAATACAGGGCGTTCCATTTAAATTAAAAAAGATACTGCCGTTTAAAGCTAGAAATTATTTAAAATAAATTTTTAGACACTCTGTATGAGGTAGTATTATTTTTATTATTGCAATACAATAACTCATCAATAAATAAACTTCAGTAAATATTTGGTATTAAAAACTTTGATACCTTTGGAGAAATGAAGCCTTAAAATTTTTACTTCAATTTCACAAAATTGAAAATATTTCAAAAACGGTAAGGTTTAAGTGTAATAAACCTTAATCAACTTTTTGTGTAATAAACCTTAATCAACTTAATAAATTTTTCTTTAACAAATTTTAAACAATCAACAAACGATACAGTCTACCCTTCTTTATACTGTATGTTTTAAATAAAAGTCGTACCTAATTTTATTTTTTATATTCCTTAAGAAGTATTTTTGTGACTTTGATGTTTTTTCCCCTGTACCCCTTTCTCCTTTTGGAATTACGTTTTAACCAACCACTGAACTCTTTTATTAGTTCTAGCTATATTCATAGAAATCCAGATTTTGTTCATTTTGTTTTTTATAAAAGTACTGAATCCGATTAAAAATATTAATTATTTATTTTTATTTCCAGGTCATGACTGCTAAATCAGTACCATGTCATCACCACTGGACAACACAGACATCCACATAGACCTGATCGATTTCCATGTCGGATCCCCCGTCATCTCTAACCCACCAAACCCGCCTCCCATTGACAATCTTCACCAAGTCAGCGACAGTCTCATCGACACGGAACTACCGATATTCGAACAAAAACTCCAATCGGCCACCTCCAGCTCCGTCAGCTGTCATTCGCGCAGACCCAGCATCGACGTCGAGGACATACTCATCGATATCGACTCAGATGAGTATGACAGAGACAGCATAGATGGCGAGGAAGTTGAAAAGGACTTTCTCGATCTATGCCAGGGAGGCGAGAACGGCAACGATGCCACCTCGTTACCGGTTGATAACTTCGAAGCTCTTTTAGTTTTGAAGAATTTGGATGACTTGCTTAACGCTACGTTGGAGGAATCCGAAAATGCTCTGGATACTAATAGAAATCCAGTTGAAGACGATGATGGAAGTGACGAACAATCCGAGCGAATTATAGTAGATTGTTTGGAGGATTTGGATAACTACTTGAGAGCGATCGATGATTACGACAGCGAGTCGGGCGATTCGGTTTACTCGGTTGAGCGGTCAAGCACGAAGTGGAGTGCGAGCTTATCCGATCTGACAGGAAGCTGTGATAAGTTCACGTGCAGTCAGGTAAGACTTTAATATCTGTTTTCGATAAGGACGCACCGTTTGGTTCATTATTATTAATGTTTTAATCTGATAAGGAAATCATTACACCTGAACCGTGTGATCATTATAATTGGTTTAGGATATAAAAGGTTTACTTAGTTACGAAAGGAATATCGATGATCTTGAATAATTAGTTGCTAGTGTTTTTAATATTTTCTTTAGTGGTCTTCATGTTATCATAATTTCTTCGATTATTAGTTCATTTATTATGGAGGATGAGTCTGAAATACAAACCCCCCAAAAATGTAGAATGTTTAGGAGGGGAGTTAATCACCGCGACCTTACAGATCTATTGTGTGTTCCCTTTCTTGAGTTATAACGAGACATGACGCATAATACAGTCTCAGGACTTTAACAAAAGCCAGTATCTGAGACGGCTCCACAGAGGCCAGCTCTCCATCCTCGACATCAACCGTACCAAAGTTCATGGCACAAACGGTCGTTATCTCGGCGCACTCAGTAATAAGGTGTTCTGGTGTTTCCCCATTTTCACCTCAGAATCTGCATTCGTCGTTGTTTCTCAGCTCCGGCCTACTGAGGTGTTCGTTGAGGAGACAATGTCCTGTTAGAAACCCCGTGACGATCCGAAGATTGTTTTTACTTAAATCAAGGAAAATCTTTGATTTTTCTCGGTCGAAAGTTCTGAGGAACTTTTTCGAGTGTCTTAGACCGTTGAACGGATGGAGTCTTCCTTGTTTCCTCCATTATGTTTGTTGTGATTCTAATTTTGTTTGTGTTTTATTTTCGCCAATGTGAGGTTCTCCATACTGTAAGCTAAAATGTCAGTTTTACACTGAAAATTTAAATTGATCAATTTGTTTGCCAATTTATTGTTGGCTTAACTTCGCTTTAAGCCCCGTTCTCAGAACGACGTCGTGTCAAACAACCAATGGGAGCTGTACTAAATTTAAAATTGACTGCTGTTTGAATTTTGTACAAATCTCATTGGTCCTCTTGACGTGTCGCTGGCGACAGTCGCTGTTCTGAGAACGGGGCTTTACACCGCGACTTCCCTACTTCAATTTTCACAACAACAAATGTCAATGAACAAGTCTACCAACATAACAGTGTTAGGTTATGTTTGTGTGTCATATTTGTTTATGTTTATTATTATTGAATAGTGATGGCTTGATATGAGTGACGATGTTTAAAAACGGCTAAGTTTCTAAAAGCAAAAAACGAGCTGTAGCAATTGCGTTAATTATTGCAGCCAGTAGTTTTTTTATTGAACAACCTGAAAAAAGACAAAGAAGATGGTGGATGCCCTGAATTTAGCGAATAATTGACGAAAAAATAGAACATACGCTAATCCGACAATAAATTGATGAAGAACTTGGTCAAGTTAAATTGTCGCCAAGTTGGCGTTTTACATTATCAATATTTCTTGGCAAAGCCACTTCATCAATTAAGGTAAACCAGCTAAAGACGTAATGTCTATTCAACTAGAGGGTTCATTGGTAGTGAAATTTGTTGTTTATCATTTAGATTTACAGGTAATTTGCATTTTCTGTAATCTGTAAAGCTTTCCAGACTCGTTGGACATTTAGTACACATTGTTTGAAAGAAGATCTTTCTCTTCCAACACATTGGACTGGAGAACTGCACTTATAAAAATGTATTTCAATCATTCATAGGCAGTTGAATTGTCAGTCGTATTCGTTTTGGTTTGGCTGTTAAGTTCAGAAGTTCAATATTGTGAAGTATAAGTACCGTATGATCGAAAAAACTGCGTCCAGTTGGCTTGGAAATGACAATCGATGATCATATAATTTTACATATAAAATGACAACGATCTTCATTTCATACCCATCGCTGACGCCGGTTTTTTCGATCATATTGTATTTCGTGATAATAGTTCTTGTGAGCAGTTGTTTTCTCAATTTGTTTTCCAATTACAGGGTTTATCATCACCTGGATTCCTGAGATGTTGATATTTAGTCCTATTTTCACACATTTAAATCAAGATACATTTCAGAAACCCTTTGCATACACGGTGATCCAAACTATATTCCGGAATCTTCGGCATCATATTCTGCAGATAAAAATAAGTAAAAAAGTTCGTATAAATGTATGTCCTAAAATGCTTAGTTCCGAAGATTCAAGGTGTTGAAGTTTCATTTTTATTCCTATTGTTTCCAAACAGGGGTGGATGGAGAAGTGGAAACCGGCCCGGGAATAACAGGCAACCCGCCCGAATCCACAAAAATAAAATGACCATAACGAATAAACATATTTTATTTATTAATATACAGGGTGTCCCAGAAATAAGTGCAAGTAGTTTAACTGGTAGTATATTTCGGCCTCAGAAACACGCCTATCAGTTTTTTTGACGAAAATTTGGAATTTTTTGAAGAAATTTTTGGAATTTTTTTAGTTTTAATTTAAGAAAACATAATTTCTTGATAATCTGAGAACTGACAATAGGTAGTAGATTAAATTTACATGAAAGAAAATACAGAAAAGATCCAGTGGTTCTCAAAATTTAAGCAAAAAAGCATTTTTTGTTTATATTTTCAAAGTAAAATTTTGGTTAAAAAGGTTATTTTGGGCTTACTTGAAAAACGGTAAAGAGAAAGAATGTTTATTTTGACCAAATCTACCCCCCTTAAAATACTTGCACTTATTTCTGGGACACCCTAGATAAGGGTCAAATCACCCCAAGTAAGGGTGATTTTCGCTCGGGCGAAAAAAACTCTTTTGCCTCCGATTTTTTAAAAATATTGAAATTGTCTTGATCCAAGTTTTTATAAAGATCAATATCGGGTCAGACATCTGAATTCTTACTAGAAAATAGCTCAGTTTCACAGGGTTCTACTGTTTTATTTCCATCATCGATAACATTTGATCTTGAATATGCTACGATTTTGAATCACGGTTTTGAGAAACTTTAAGACTTCCTGATTCATTCAGTTCATCAGCTGGCCCAATCCTCTATGAAATACATTATTTTTAGATTTTCAGGTATATACTTTCTTACAGATTGTAGAAAGAAAGCCTCTCTTTTCTGGTACAGCAGAAGCCTCGTCATGTATACGTGTCTTAATTTTGGTATAATTTTCATCACGTAACTTTTCCTAGTTTCTACATTTGGCATCTTGTATGATAATGCCATGACTCAAACGAAAAAAACCTAGGCAATACCTAAGCAGTGGATATAAATGTGTTTTAATAAAAGAATATTCGTAAAACTATACAGAATGAGTCTTAAATAAGCGCAAATATTTTCAGGAGTGGTATATTATGTCACCACCAGGTGCCAGGATACGTCTATGAGTTTTTTTTTGTAAAAAAAGATGTTGAAAATCGTGCTTTTTCTTTTAAATTTTCCTGTATATTTTAGAAAATTTTTTTAGAACTTCCTGTTCACTGCAAATTTTCCCACGGTATAGTTTCTTAATCTTTGATATTACGGCACAAAAAGTGATGCAAATACACAAAGATTTAGGCAGCAATTTTTTTTTAAAAAAATCAGTTTTTTTTTAAATTCAAACTTTAATAACTCGGAAGATGCGGTCCTTGCAGTTTCCACGAAGCCTTCACCAAGCCGAGGAGACTCTTTTCTCATTGTTAAAAATCATTCCATTGTCTTTGCTCTTACAGTAAACATCTTGTACTTTATCAAATAAAATTAAAACTTTATTTTTTAAAAAGACTCTCCTGTTTTCTTGAAACGTAATTAGAGGAAAACATCTAACAATACCTAGTTATTTTAAAAATTGATGTTTATGTTTAAAAGCAACTAACCATTATATTGATGCACACTGATTAGTTAGTTAGGCAGTCACTAGAATCTTACGTAATTTTAGTTAGAAGATTAACCATTTAATTTTAACTAAATCAATCTTTTTTTGAGTTCTGATCGGGACCGGCCCACCGGCCCATCTTTCCACCGGCCCACCGGGAATTTTCCCGTTTTCCCATATGGCCCATCCACCCCTGTTTCCAAATAATTTCTGAAGTAGCGTCAATATTTGGATGAAAATTGGTATCTGGGAGTTTTTTGACATGAGAAATTTGATTTTGATGTCAATATGACTCTTACGTGTAGAGGGCGCCACCTACATATTTTTAACTTGTTTGAAAAGTAATAACTTTTCGCCACTACCTGTATAAAACTACTGAGTAAACAAAATATACATTTACGATGCTTTTTACTTAAAAAAAGACTCTTGGTAAAATCGCTACGAGTAATGGTTCTCGAGATATTTGGAATCGAGATTATCAATACCTGTTATCGTTGACATAAATGAAACATGGCGAGAGAAACTGTTTTATCATCATTTTTTCGAAGAGAAATTCATGATTAATTTAAAAAAATAAATAGTTTCTAAATTTGTCTCATTTCCGTCAAATAACTATCTACTCAACATGTTTATTTTTTTTGTCAATAATGACATGTATTGATTATTTCCATTCTAAATATTTTAAGAACGGTTGCTCTTAGTGATTTTTACCAAGAGACTTAGGTATTTTACGTCAAAAATCACGAAAATATATATTTTTTACTTGTTAGTTTTATACATTTACGAACGAAAACTTATTACTCTTCATAGCAGTTAAAATACATGTAGGTGGCGCCCCCTACAAATAGGAGTCATATTGACATCAAAATCAAACTTCTGATATCAAAAAACTCCCAGACACCAATTTTAATCTAAATATTGACGTTACTTCAGAAATCATTTGAAAACAATCGAAATTAAAATGAAAGTTCCACACCCCGTATCTCTGAAACTAAGCATTTTAGGACATACATTTATACGCTCTTACTTATTTTTATCTTCAGAATATGCTGCCGAAGTTTCCGGAATACAATTTGGACCATCCTGTATAATAAAAGTTGTTATGAACTTCTTCTTCTCTTCTTTCTCAGCCTGATTCCATCCAGTGTTGGATGGAACTTCTAGGTTTTTCCATGCCTCTTCTAGGTTTTTCTAGGCCTCTTCTAGGTTTTTCCATGCTTCGCGATCTCTAGCCAATCTTATCCATTATCTTCATGCCACTGTTCTGACGTCATCGACCCATCTCCTTTTTACATCCATCACACTTCTTTCCCCTAGTTCTTCTCTGGTTGTCCCCTAGGTCTCCATAGAATGACTTTTTGGGGCTATCGGTCTGGATCCTGGCTTGTCATATGTCCTATCCATTGCCACTTTAGACTTCCTACTCTTTTTTTTCCCAATTTTCCCTACTGTTTTAACAACATCTATTAGTTTTGTTTTTTTTGACGTATGTGGGTGTTCTGTATTTTTTCCCTAATGGTGACTCCCAACATGATTCTTTCCATGTCTCTTTGTGCTAATCGTAGTTGTTCTGCTGTTTTTCGGGTAATTGCCATAGTCTCTAAGCCATACGTAAGCACAGGTAGAATACTGCTGTCGTAAGCCTTTTTATTTAGGTTTGGTTTGGTGCCATAAAGGTGCCATCGAAAAGGTGCCATAACCTTTTTATCCTTGAAAATATCGCTCATATTTCCAAATGCTACCCATACCAAATGGATCCTGCGTTTGATCTCCGTATTTTGGTTCTCTTTACCTAGCTTGATTTTATGACCTAAATATATATAATGACCTACGTTTTCAATAACAACGTTGTCTACGCTAAAGTTATGGATAATGTTGCTCATTATCTTGGTCTTCTTCAAGTTCATTTTAACCCATAACTGGTCCGGCGTCGTCTGACAGACTACGCCAAATAATTAACTCATTCTCATTAGTTACTGGGGCCGCCTACAGGATTGGCGTTCCAGCTAATCCTTCCCCTCTCGGTCAACGACTGATAGCCATATTTATGCCCAAACTGGATTAGTTTTTTAGAAGTTATGGCAGAAGATACTTAAGCCGTAGTCTGTCAGACGACGCCGGACCGTTTGTGTAAGATTTTGTGTGTGACAAACTTTCGTAAAATATGGCCGGGCCTTCGAAAAGAGTGCGTTTAGGAGACTCTAGTTATGAAGAAACTCTATTAAAATGATATGATGAGGACTGTGACAGTGACAATATGACAATCTACCAGACAAATGCGTTTGACAATGTCAAATATTCCAAGAGAAATATACTTTACAATTGGTAGAATACTTGCAATTCCTGTACAACCAGAACACGCCCATGGAGATATACTTATCCTAGAGTACTTATCCTAGTTAAATACAATGTTATGTCCTAGTTAATTATTTTTAATGCCTAGAATGTACGAATCCATTTTGTAAAACATGTTCAGGAAAACAATGAACTTTGCCTCATGCTGTAACTAAAAACCTTTTCTTTAACTCCAGTTTTACAACTAATTGTTTTTATATATGGTATTAAAAACTTATTTCTATATTGTAAAGACTTTTAGTACTTGGTTTTATTTTTTAGAGCTTAGTAAAAATCTAACTATTTTTTTCAAATTTATATGTATGTTATTTTATTTTGTACTATATTTTCTTAAAGTTTATATTAATTGAACTCATTTTTGTCTAGATTAGTTCAATACTACATAATATAATATATAATAAAATAAAAATTTGTTATTTTTTACTCTTTGTGTTTTTTTTTTAATTTTTAGAAGGCGTAGTCCCACAGACTACGCCGGACCGTTTATGATACCTATTACCGGACCAGTTAAGGGTTAAGGCCAATTTTCTAGGATTGGTCAATTAGCTCCTTTAGCATGGTGTTCAGTTCTTGAATGTCGGTGCTCAGCAAGACAATATTGTCTGCGAACCTAAGACGGCTAAGGTGTACCCCATCGATGTTTAGACCTCTATTTTCCCATTCTAATTTCTTGAAGACATTTTCCAGTGCCAGTGTAAATAACTTGGGAAAGATGTTATCTCCTTATCTCACGCCCTTGTCAAGTGGTATTTTTTCTGTTTTCAGGTCATCATCTAATTTACTACTTACTACATTATCATGAATCACGTTATGAACTTACACCATCCTTTTTCTTTTGCAGGAATTTAACGAGGAGCTGGCCAGGCACAAACTCCGCCAAATGGAGGAGAACTACTCCAGATTCGTCTCGATGGGCGTGGTGAATCGCGGCTACGTCAACACGGAAGACCCCGCCGCCTGCGATTTCACGGTCGAGGGGCAGCGTTGGTGCGGAAGAAGACCGTCTTCGGCGTGTGCCGGTACGACCAGCGGACCGAGCAAGCGGAAGCGCGTGTTAAGGGCCGCCACCATGGCCGCCACGGTCAGGAAGGAACGGCCCAGGCTGCTTAATAGGTGGGTAGGACGCGGATATTGTTCTGGGTAAAGATCATGTAGTTCCGGTAGGGCTCGATTATATGGTACGAATTTGCAGTGATGTAGCCTGGTTTATGATTATACAGTCAATTAGTTAAAGTAAAATTATTTCCTTTCCATTAAAGCATAACAAAGATGATTTAAAAAAGTGGATATAATTTTGGAGGTACACCAATGCATAGTTAATGAATGTACTTAATATTCTGTTATATAATATGACTGTACTCAATATTCAGTTTTATACATGGTTTCCCAATATCCCGTGAACTACTAAGGGTGATCTTCATCTTTACTACTAAAATTCCAAAAAGCATACAAAGAGGCATGTGCGAATTATTTAAACTTTTCTGATTTTTGTTTATTTTTTTGATTTAATAACTATTAATTTTAATATACACACAACCAAACTTATATGGAATCACTCTTTATTTTTAACTAAATTTCTTCTAAGGATAAAAATTGGTATACAATTTTAAGATAAGGCTTTTTGTTGTAAATAAACTTGACAATAAATAATAAACGACTGCTGCGATTTATTTTCTTTTCAATTTTGTGTTCAGTAGTGGTAAAATCACGATTGTCCGGTAATTTTCATTCAATCCAAAAAAAATGCCTTATGTTGGATTAACAGATGTACAGGAGGGAAGAATTATTGCTTTCACCGAACAAGGAATGCTTCAGAGAGACGTAGTAGAGATAGTAGGCGTTACCCAGGGTGTTGTATCGAAAACATATAGGCAAGGTACTTGGAATTAGGAACACACAATGATAGGCCCAGACAAATTCGTCAAAGAGTCACAACTGAACAAGACCGCCTTGTGTTCTAAATTGCTAGAATAAATCCCAATGTTTCTCATCCAGAGCTACAAAGACAACTTCTGGCAGCTACAAGTGTCAACGTTTCAGTTGAAACCATAAGAAAAACGCTTCGTTCACGAGAGTTTTACAGTAGGAGAAGGTTACGGATTTCACAGTTATCTCGGCAAAATAAAATTGACCGGCTAAATTGATGCCTTCAACATCAAAACTGGACAACTGAGAATTGGCAAAATGTTCTTTTTTCGGATGAGACCAGAATTGGCCTAAGATCAGATAACCATCGAATTCGGGTTCTCAGAGTTCCAGGAAGACAAGCGAGACTTCAGGCTGCCAAATCTGTACCAAGATATAAAGGAGGAACTGTAATGTTCGGGGGAGGTATTATACTGGGAGCAAAAACTCCATTGTTACCACTTCAACAAATTTTAACTTGTCGGAGATATGTTGATTTGGGGCTAGAACCAATCGTTAGTCTTTGAAGAATTACAATTGGGGATAATTTTAACTTCATGAACGATAGTGCACCTCCCCATACCAGCAGAGTGACTAGAGAATGTCTTGACACGGAAGGTGTTGTGGACTGGCCTGCCCATTTACCAGATCTAAACCCTATCGAACACTTGTGTGACTAGCTCAAAAGAAGGGTTAAAGCTCGTCGAAACAATCCAGGAAATCTCGCACAGCTTATTGATGTAGCATTAGCAGAATCAACATACCCCAAGACAACGTGGATAATTTAATAAGAAGCATTCCAGCGCGGAGAGAAACTTGCATAAGGGCTAGAGGTGGCAACAAGGAATATTAAAATTATCAATTTTCTTTTTGTTTATGCTTTTTGACCATTAAAAATTTAAATCTTAATTTCATTTCAGAAACCAAAAAAATACCATTTTGTTTATTTTGGGAACTGATTAATTTTAAGGACTAAGTTTTAGTCATAAACACAAAATTTTCATACATCTCAAAAATTATGAAAAATAATAGATTATTCCATATAAGTTTGGTAGTGTGTATATTACCTTCTGTATTACATATTTCTTCCAGTTCTCCTATTTCTTTTGATTGAGTACAGAACTTGTAATCACACATTACCTATCTTAACAATACAAGAAAATGTGTTGGGTAGAGTTATTATAAAGGTTGTTTCAAACGAGTTTACGCTTTATGTGCATCCGTGTATAATAAAAAATCCAATTTACTTAACGTGTGGGTTTACTGGGCGTTCAGTTTGGTACGGGTTATGGTTATGGTACTGTTATGTTGTCCTGTGCAAGGCGGTATTTATGTAAACAATTGGCAATAGAGTTGTTTTATTATATTTAAATTCTTTATTACCAAACATATTTAATTTTGTACTTTTTGGATAATATAGAGTATATTTTTAGAATATTAGATGACCATATATGTTAGTATAATTATTTTATTTTCTATTTTACTAAACTAGGAGTTCATTCTTTCAAACTTAATTTGTTGAAAATAGCCTGATTATTTAGCCACTGAAACAGAAATCTAAAATATGAAAAAAATATATTTTTTTTGGAAAATTCCACACCTGTAATTTTTAACCAATCAAAACGTGTTTTTTGACAAACCACCATGGCAACGGATAAATTTTAGTGAAAATTTTTTCCTTGTGGGCACTCAACAGCGAATTATACTGGAAATTTTTTGGCGTTTATAATGACCGAATATCTTTTTGAGAGTCTGGTTTTTATTTGTTTAGATCATAATTTTGATACATTTCAATTACAAAGCTGAGATGTTTTCTATATTCTTTGGACACCTCCTTTCTTCTTAATGGCGAAAATGTAGGACTTGGAATGGACTGAATTAATTGTCTATGTCTAATGAAATATATATAATTAGTTCAATTAAATTTAGACACTATTATATTCACCTTTTTTTCATTTAGGACTTTGAATTTTGAGTAGTTTAGATGCAAATATTCGTGAACAATTCGAAACAAATTTTCTTTCTTCAATCCTCTATTAATGCGGGTAAATAAGTCATCGCACGATGATTGATCATTACATCAGACAATTTCACGCATATTTTGCATCTAGTATGATTTTCAAACCGATTCATTTTTAAAACAAAGAATTTTGTTGGTTTTTCAAGCTGTACAATATTTTTATTACAACAAAACGCGAGTTTTTCTGATATTTTGAACTGTCAAAATACGATGATCACAGCTTTTTATGATTGACGCTTGCTGACGCTGCGCGCTGGTTATGAATTCCATACCAATAAAGCGTTTATGAAAAGTTAATAAAAACGCAAAAAGCAATTTTCTACTACTTGTAGTTACTTAAAACTTATGTAAAATTAAAGAATATATTGTGTTGTGTCTTGAGATGGTATTTTCGTGCAACTACAACGAGTAGAAGTCAAAAATTTAAAGGTCTAAATTGCTGCCAAAACTGTGACGCGCTGTAAATCTGTTCATGCAGCGTTCCGAAAAACCTTTTAAATTATGATTTTCTACCACTTGTAGTAAGCCCAAGTAACTATAAAATGAAAGAATATAATATTTTAGGTCCTAAAATGGCACTTCTGAGCTACTACAATCACCAGAAATCAACAGTTTATACATTTTAATTATTTGATTTTCAAACACAATTTGGTGTGGAATTTTCTTACCGAATACCACACGAGGTCAAATTAAATCCGGCAATTTTTTCTCGCTCATGAATATTTTCTGAATCATTTTTCTTTTCTCGTCTTCGACTCGGGATAATTTTCATAAATATTCATGAGCTCGAAAAAATTTCCGGAAATAATTTGACCTCTAGTGGTATTACTAGTGAAAATATCACTACGTTTGAATCCAGACAGAAACTCCCTTATCAGTAGATTTTTACTAGTGAAACAGTTTGACTAGCCAACAAGAAATGCTTAACATTTAAGAGGGTACACGAGATTCTTCGAGGTGGCTCTAGATCTGTTCCACTGCTACCTCTTCAGTTCTATTGCGGTCCTCTTCTGATCCTTAGGTTACATTTAAATTGTGTTCATCTTCATCTTCATCAAATTCTTTTCATCTTAAGATTGACAGAAACTGCATATGACTTCGTCAGTCAATCTAATCAGCTTTAGATGCCTATTCAGCTTACAATGCCCTGTTAGTACACAAACCACAGTTTTTGCTGTCTTTCTGCCTTTGCTTATTACCTAGGTCTACCGTGAATTTTGGCGAATGTTCTACTATGAAATTTTTTGCTTATCTCTGTCATGGTGAATCTTTCCACTATTCTAGAGATTTTTTGTCCACCCATCATTTTGTGTCTATTCTCCAGACTACCTTTGGAACGCCAAAGAGACGGTTCTGATCCTATGAATGGCATTAATGAGTCTTGTTTGGTCATTTCATCTGGCTTTTCCTTGCTCTTGTGATCTTCGTAATCACCCAATGTGTTTAGAGCACACACACACACGACCCACACTAGTTAATTAACCTCCGTGGAACCGAGTGTCTTTAGCACTGCTTGGCTGTTTGTAAAGATGACTACTGAATACATTTTTCTTGCTGCCTTACTACTGATTCTATTCTGTCGATTGCCATTATTTCCGCCTGGAAAATTGTGACATCTTTAGATAGTCTAACAAGGAATGCTATTTCTTGTTTCGGCCCTACTATTCCATCTTGAATAGGTACTACATTTATACAGTCTTCCCTTCCTAGTATACATCAGAGATTTCAGAGGATATATCTTCCCCCGTTGTCAGAAACAGAAAAAAAAACAAAAATAATAAAGGAAAACTATCTGAAATGTCTAAAGCTTCATTCAGAACCTCCCCAAGCAGCATTTGGACGTCGGGACAACGTTGTGTCACGCGACCAAACGTCGGGGCGCAACGTCGGGACAACCTCGTGCCAACCCTAGTCTGCACTAGTTTGGAGAAAAATTTTGGGGTCGAAACGACGTTGGATACCGACGTTGGCTACAAGCCTAATTTAGTACAAACTGCAACGTTGTTTAAAATCCTAATTCACAGAAATACAAAACTAATATGGCGTCTAAGTCGCGTTTTATCCTAAATTGGGATAATTATAGGAAAAATATTATTTTTATGATTTAGTTAGAAACATATGTCAGATGGCAGTGAAGGAAAACAAAACAAAAGTATTTAAGTGTGGAGGATGTTTGAAGATCATAATTATTGAAACACTTTAACCGACTCTGTAACTCGTTACCCAAGGCAAAAAAGTTAAACGCAAACAAATTTATTGATAAATGTATTGATTCTACTTTGAAAAATACTCATGGGCCTTAAAATTAAAGAAGTTTTAAAAATTTTCTTGAATTTTTTTTTAGTAAAATGAGAATAATTTATTCGCAGTCGAAAAAATTGTTTCCGCGTTTTTTTTAGGGTCAAATATTTCAAGTTAATGTATTCAAAAAGCAGGAATTGCTATTTTAGGAACGAAACATTTTCTTATTTAACAACATGGCGGCTTTCACTTTGTTGTTTTGGAGATTAAGATGGAGTAGTTCGAGTAGTCGCATACTGGACTAATAAAGTCGCAGTTCGGCCTTAACAGGTAGTATACTAGTCGCAAGATTGCCTAATTTAGTCATCCTAGAGTCTAGCTTGTGTCGCCCTCTATAATCTAAATAAACGAGGGAGTGGATAAACTATCGGTAATATATGTCGATGTATATTTAAATTTAGTTTTATATGTACCTTTCTTATATCCCATTTTAATTAAGTTTTTTTTTATAAAAACAAAAACAGCACTGACTGAACAGAACAATGAAGTGAAAATTTAAGATTTAAGGTTATGGTTCAATACAGTTGCAAAAAGGTAGTGACTCGACGTCCTACCAACGTAAGAATAAGGAAATCTAAACAACGTTGTAATTAGTAAAACAGACGACGTTTGCATAACGTTGGAATAGGTCCTGAAACTTATGTCGGAAAACTCTATATTGTCCAACGTTGTAACTACGTTGTCCGAATCACTTAAAGATCACTTAAACAAAAAAGGTTACAAGACAACGTTTATTCGACGTCGCAGAAGCTTCTACTTTGCTGTAGTACTAGTCCAACGTCGGCACAACGTTATTAAAACGTTTAAATTTATTTTAATACCCAAGGTAGGGAGCTAACTATTTTTTGTAACTAATCCAACGTTGTGTTTAGTAAACATGTGGTCGCAAGTCGTGAAAATGCTACTTGGGTCGCAATTAGTGGAATAATTAGTGGTTTCAATTACACTTTATACTTTTTTTAGTTTACTACATTCACAATGTTTAAAAAAACACAATTAAAATTAATAGAATATCTTAGAAACAGCTTGCGGTAGTCAGTGTCAGCTGTAACCATAGAGAAAGCCAAATATTTAGCTTATAACTATTGATTTCTAACCACAATTTCTCTTGACGGATGATAATCAAAAGTCAAAATAACATTCCCCGCAAATTTTGAAGTATAATTAGTGGAAAAGTTAAAAGTTTGACAACTTTTTCTACTAATTGAAAATGTCTACCACTAATTTTGATGTTCTGAATGCTTACATGCTTAAAGCTTTATTCATAACCTCGCAATTAGTGGTTTCAATTAACATAGAAATTTGTTCCTTTAATTTCAATGTAGGTACAAAATTCTCAAATTTTTTATTCTAGGAGCTACAAATGCCCGACTCACTATTGCCGGACCCTGTATTACACTTATTTCATCGTCTGACGTCTGACAAATTTCGCGAGAAACCCTCTATATTTATTTGAATACCAACAAATAAAGCTATTGTTGAGTTTATGCGTAACATTTTGATATTGTTTATATTAGCTTGAAAGAGGGTCCTCTATTGTATCTTGCAGGAAATTGCTAACTTTCCACCCTTAAATAATTACACATAACCAGAAACCGAACCCTCTATTACACACCTGGCCACAACCCAATCAAAACTAAACCTATACATCAATCAAATTATTCCAATTCAACCAGCTTGCACTTTTTTTCAGGCGGAACTCCCTTACCAACACCCGTGCCGTACTACCCGACCGCCTCCACTCCCTCTTCCGGCCGATAGCCGCTTGCAGCGCTCCCACGTCACCGGAAACGCCATCTCTCGACCAGGAGCGCCAAGCGGATCGGCGCTGTACCGCTGAGCTTAGTTGTTCTTCGGCGAGTGCTCTAGATGACGCGTCGATGGGTAAGGAGGATTCGAACGGTACCGGTAGGGGTACTTGGTTGAGGACGTCAATGCGGAGGTTGCAGCAGCTGCCCTTGCCTGGGGAAGAGGGTGAGGGGAGTGGTGGTGTTGCAGGGAATAGGCTGGAGGTTGCAGGAGGTGATGTTAGGCCTGTTAGTGCGCCGTCTAGGTTGCCTCCCACTGGATCATCCGCAGGTAATTATTTACAAGTTTCTTAAAAACACAAAATATACAAGGTGGTCCACACTTTATTCCGGAAACATCGGCAGCATATTCTACAGGTAAAAATAAGTGAAAAAGTTCGTATAAATGTATGTCTTAAAATGCTTAATTTCGGCGATACAGGGTGTAGAAGTTTCATTTTTAGTTTGATTTTTCCAGATAATTTTTAAAGTAACGTCAATATCTGGATGAAAATTGGCGTCTGGGAGTTTTTGACTTGAAATATTTAATTTTGATGTTAATATGACTCCTATTTGTGAAGGCGCCACCTCTACTGTTTAACTGTTTTGAATAGTAATAACTTTTCGTCCGTACCTGTATAAAACCTACTGAGTGAAAAAATACACATCTCTGTGACTTTTTACGTAAAAATTGTCTTTCGGTAAAAATCGCTAAGAGCAACCGTTCTCAAGATATTTAGAATAGTCAATGCATGTCATTATCGACACAAAAATAAATTCATTGACTACATAGATATTTGACTGAAATAATAAATTTAGGATTTTTTTTTAAATTAATCATAAATTTTTCTGCGAAAAAATTTGTTTAGTTGAACTTTTGGCATTTATAAACATTTGAAATTTATGATTTCAGTCCAGTAACTATTTAGTCAACATGTTTAATTTATGTCAATGATGACAGGTATTGATAATTTCGACTTAGAATTTATATATAATATATATAAATATATATTTTCGAAAGAAAATCTTGTCCCTAATTCGTGGTACCAAAATTGTTTTTTATGACGATATGCAAACGAGTAAAATTTCCTGTGCGCAAAAATAAACTCGCGTAAAATAACAATAAACAGCGTAATAGAGAGATATCGCTAAACCGAATAGCGTGCATGGACGTTAATAAGGCCAGGTGTTAGTTTCTTTACGTGAGATGGTATTAACTCTCTTATAGTTTTCGGATTGGATTCTGTTCGCGTCGCGTCCGCTATTTAAATTTAACCTAACTTTGAATTTAAAACTTTGAAATTGTTTTGTTTATTAGGTATTTTAAAACTAAAGTGCTTATTTCCAGTGCTTTATTGTTCAACGTCTGCCAGTGGGTTTAGGGCAACAAGCAACAAATTCTCTAAGAAGGGCTAAGTCGTCATCTGCTGTAAACCTAAGCCTCTTTATAGGTTCTTTAATATTGGAAGAGACGGAATCCATATTTTGGGCCATATTTATTTAATTAAAACTAATCCCAGCTACTTAAATATCAAATTATCTAATAAAACTAAAGTAATAATTCAAAACAATTCAAACATAAAAGATCTCGCCGCGCGCCGGCCGGCCCCAGTTGTCAAATACCCGCACATGCCCATTTAAGCAATTTTTAAACGTTATTTAGAAATAGCGCTTGGTGTAATTGATCCGCAAATTACGTCAGGCGGAAACGTTATTAGCGGGTGTTGCGTTAAAAATTGACTCGCGCATATCGTAACCATGATAAGGTACGCGTAAATACTGCATGACGCTATTCGGTTTTCCGATATCTCTCTAATAACTGTGCTGGTTAGGCGCTGCGCACAATTTTAGAGGCAATAAGTGGGCGTGCTATGTGCGAAAACTAGTAACCTAACTAGTGCCCGATTCCGAAAATTGGAACCACCAAAAACAATAAAGAAAAAACGAAGTTTATAATCTGTATAATCTGTGCTTGTAGCGATTTTTACCAAGAGACTTTTTTACGTAAAAAATATCGTAAATGTCTATTTTTTACTCAGTAGTTTTACATAAATACTGGCGAAGAGTTATTACTTTTCAAACCAGTTAAAAATATGTAGTTGGCGCCCTCTATAAGTAGGAGTCATATATTTTCATCAAAATCAAATTTCTCATGGCAGAAAACTTCCAGACACCAATTCTCATCCAAATATTAACGTTCTCAATAAGTTATTTGAAAAAAAAAAAATTGAAATAAAAATGAAATTTCTACACCCCGTATCTCCGAAACTAAGCATTTTTAGGATATACATTTGTACGAACTTTTTTACTTATTTCTATCTGCAGAATATGCCCTGTATATTTTTAGAATATACCGGATAATATATAGGCTCAGGATATACAGGGTGGCTCATCGAAAACGTTCCGCAAGGCATAACGGTCAGGGTAATTTTTTTTCAGAAACTTTTGCCCCAAAAATGATTGCAAAATCTTCAACCCTCTAAGAGGGGGTGTCATCCCCCAATTTTTTTCAAATGGGAAGGGGGGTCAAGTGGTACCGCAATGAAAAGGGCTTTCTATTCTCTATACTTTCCCGCTTCGTTTTTGAAAATCGGTCGAGTCATTGAGAAAATATGAAGGATTGAAATTTGAAAAGTTTATTCAAACATTTATCAGAGTAAATGATAAGGATACATTCCTTCGACCAATTTGCTGTTTTTTCTTATTATTTCTAGATGTTTACGCAGTTTTTCACTTGCCAAAAGGTTGAACGATCAGGTGCGGTAGTTGCTAGATAGTTGCTCTGTGACTTGTGCTTTGAAGTTCTTCTCAATATCGTTAAACTTTTTAATTATGGTGTACTCACTTGCAGAAAAAGTGGACATAATCTAACTTTATTTTAAAAATAATGAATGTGGCAATCGGGTTGCGCAGATATTCAATGAACGCCATCCTGACAAACACCTTTATGGCTAAATTGTTTACGAGTTAGTAGTAAAATTTTGCGAAATTGGTTCCGTTATGAATAAAAGGAGGTAGGAGGAAAATCCTGTAGTCATGAGAAATCATGAAAAATTGTAGAAAATGAAGCTATGGAGGTATTCGTATTGGGCCAAGTTATTAGTTGCCATGGACAGTACGCTGAGTAAAAGAAAATTAGCCAATGAGATCGGCGTGAATCGTACAAGTGTCCAAAGGATATTAAGAAAATACAAGTTCTACCCGTATAAAATTCAGTTGGTACAAGAACTCCAAAATGACGACTTTGATCGCCGCTTGCAATTTTGTGAATCTATGAGTGAACGAGTCGCGAATGATAATAATTTCCTATTTAATGTGTGTTTTTCGGATGAGTGTACTTTCTTTTTGAACGGTGTAGTTAATCGGCACAACTGTCGGTACTGGGCTGAGGACAATCCCAGGGTTTTTCACGAGGTGCACACACAAAACCCTCAGAAATTGAACGTGTGGGCTGGTATTTTTGGAAATTCTATTGTGGGTCAGTTTAACGATATTGAGAGGAATTTCAACGCACAAGTCACAGAACAGCTATCTAGCAAATAGCGCACCTGATCGTTCAACCTTGTGGCAAGTGAAAAAATGCGTAAACATCTAGAAATAATAAGAAAAAACTTCAAATTGGTCGAAATAATTTATCCTTATCATTTACTCTCATAAATGTTTAAATAAACTTTTCAAATTTCAATCCTTCATATTTTCTCAATGACTCCACCGATTTTCAAAAACGAGGCGGAGAACTATAGAGAATAGAAAGCTCTTTTCATTGCGGCACCATTTGACCCCCCTTCCCATTTGAAAAAAGTTGGGGGATGACACCCCCGCTTAGAGGGTTGAAGATTTTGCAATCATTTTTGGGGCAAAAGTTGTCCCCCTCACAAACAAAATTGACCTGTTTTTGGATTTTTTGAAAAAAAAATACCCTGACCGTTATGCCTTGCGGAACGTTTTCGATGGGCCACCCTGTATAGGAAATTCCATGTAAAGAGTGGGTGTTCCATTTAAAAAAAATCATCCCGATCCACTCACACTTTTTTGAGCCACCCGTTAAAACATTTTCCTGAAATGCATGCTAATGCTAACAGATACTTTAGGTTGGCACTTTGTGACGACTTTTTCTGTCATCACTCAAACAGAAAGAAAAAGGTATCCGTTGCTCAGGGTTAGAGGAGAGCTGGGTTCGTAGGTACGGCTTGTGACCTGTGGTGACTTAATAATGTTGTTAAATAATAAAATAAAAGTAATAATGTATAGGCTGCAAAGATTCTAAAATTGATGTTAAGTATTCAAATAGTAATGGTCAAAGACAGTAAAAAGGGCGCCACTTACTTTGAGTATGAAAAGGTAAAGTAAGAAACCAGTAAGAAAATTTGATCATGAAATAGCTAAAATAAAATAATCAACAGCAATAAGGGTCTATTATGTTCATCAAGAATAAAAGTCAGATATAACTATCCTACGTTGAACATTTATTTAAAGACGAACACAATTATCAATCAGTTTAAACCCAGTTTTAATTATCCCAATGAAATCGTTAGTTACTTTAAGTAAACTCAAATTTAGTTAAAGTTCTCTCCAGTATACTATACTACGTAATATATAAACAGGTGAAATTTATGTAAGTACCAATACGATGATGTTTCGAAACAAGTCGTGTACAATACCCTTCAAAAATGAATCCGTGTTAGCGATTCTCACATAAAGATCATACTGAAGTAAAACGTACCGTTAAGGACAAAGCATGACTTATAATGTTAACTAAAAGGTAAATTTTGACTATAATATATGGAATAAATGACAACAATTCACAGAGATATTCAAAATATTATCTCAAAGTAAAAAAAATTTAGGGAATACCTTGTGTGTTGAACTTAGAACTTATCTGTATTTTTTTTTTAATTTATGACGTAGTGAACAGATAGGCAGGCAGTCTCCAGACTAACGGAAGTGGATGTAGACTCTTCGATAGTAGCAGGAGTCTTCGATATCAGTAGAATAAATGTAGAGTCATAAATACTGTCTCAAAAGTGGTTACTCATATGCCAATTACTTATACGTCAATTTCTTATACGCCAGTTCTCTATATAAAAAAACTCTCAGAACAGTCACCGAATACCAAAAAAATAACTTACGGTCTGAAAATCAGCTGTACACATTCCAAAATATAGCCAAACTATATGCTGATCCAAACCAGTAATGCACAATCAAACATTATCAAAATAAATAAAAAACGGGAATAACTGAAATAAAATTTAGTTAGACATGGCGATACAAAATGGTAGATACACTTACTGTGATCTTATTCCAGGAAAAGGCCAAAAAAACACGAACTAGGCTCTGAACAGTATATTCTACAGGATTTCAAATCTCCACTTTTGGATACCCGTGCCTTTACTGTTAGGAAGAGTGTTTCAGAAAGCCCTTTTCTCTGAGATTCGTCGGACGCTGAACCACGCGTCGTTTTTCTGATCTCCATCTCTCGAAAAAAGCCTCCTTCCTCCTTTTCCCAAAACGGAAGTCTTCGAATTGACAGGTCATATGACCAAAGGCAATTAAGTGAACTCTATCGTCTATACTGAATGAAATTTGTTTTTATGGAAAGGAACCGCTACCTGTACTGAATGAAGTTTAACATCTAGCGAATAGATGGCGCCAGCAATATTAAAATTTGGAATTTTATAAAAAGAAAAATAAAACGCTACAACTTATACAAAACTCCTTTTATTATAGGAAGGCTTTTTGTTATAGGAGCTACACACTGTTGTCTGGCCCGTAGGAAAAAAAAACTTGTAGAACCGTGGCAACCCCTATTTGCGGAAACTTTTGCATAGACACCCTTATAACATCATGTACAAAATAAAAGTAGCTTTAATTTGACATATAAATGATTAAAAAAAATATGAGCGTGATGTCGTCTCCAAAATAAGTTATTATTATTATTAATTAAATTAATTAAACTTGTAATTGCCTCAACTTTTTGATAGGTACCCTGTGAGAAGTGTATTCTCTTATTCATAAATATACGTAAAAATTAGGTTTTAATAAAAATACGATGAGCCTAATAATCCTAATCCAGCCAGATCTACTATTGTATATTGTTTATTATTGTATATTGGTATATTGTCTATTCAAAAGTATTTATTGCATTTTAATTTATTGCAAATAGTGTTTGCAATTTTTGATAAAAAAAATACATTTCTAAAAATGTAGTATTAACTTATAATTACGTTTTTTACTACAGGTCGATCATCCAGGTCGCGATCCAGGAATTCGGTGTCGCAAGAACCAAACGGTCGAGCCAGAAGCAGTTCTGCGTCTTCTCGGTCTAGAAGGCCCAGAAGTCTATCTTCGAGTGTAACTAGTCTAGCTTCCAGTGTAGAGAGTACGCCAAGTTGTGCACCACCGGTGGAGGAAAGTAGAACCTCGAATAATGCACAAGAGGCCAGTAGCAACAATGCAAGAAGGTAGGATAAAAACTTTTTTTTTTAATTTGTATGTCAATAAATGCTGTTTTTCTTAATATGCAGGATAATAATGATAAATAACGTGTAACAAAAAGCCAAAATAGCTTCATCGACAAAGCATTTACAAAACAAACAAAAGCACAAAAAAAAGCACATTTCTGTTTTAAAAAGAAACTATGTAAAGACTGTATTTTCTTGTGTTTCTTATTTATCTTTATTAGTAATTTAACATTAAATACAGTGTTTGTGAAAACTCTTCTAAAAACAATATTATTATCATAATTTGTGCTGCTGTATGTACAATGTATAAGTATAAATGTTTTAAATAGTTTTACAACACGAACTAATTTCAATAATTGCAGTTCTGAGATCTAGTCGGCGATAGTAGCTACGTGACTGCCAGTAAACACCGAGCTTAATGTTTATAAACGAGTGTAAACAATTAATATATTTCCTAGAACAATTAGAAAAATGTAAAGTACGGGAAAGAAGATGAGCTACCGTTGACCACTGAAGATAAATCAGCATTTTTAATTACGTAGATAGAAAATGGTCTGAATGTGGGGTTTCCCACATTAAATCTATTGTATGTAGATAAATGAAAAACACATATGACTGAAAAAACAGCTTTAATGTCATTTTAACTCTTTATAGGGCAGTACTTATTCTTTCCTAGTTTAATCAAATTGACTTCAAAAATATATAAACTAGCACAAAGAGAGCTCTTAATAACATTTTTCAAAAAGTTAACAAATAAGGGAGTGGGCGGGGGGTGGTCGATTTTTCAACCAGAGACTGTTAAAGCAAATCGGTAATATGTAATGATCTAATGTATATAATGTATAAACTGTATGTATTCAATGTTCTACTCAAAAATATGCCCATATCAAGTAAATCAAATTTTGTTTTTCTAAAAACTCGCATCCTATGAGAAACGATCGAAAATATACAGGATATGTTAACGATTTTAGAAAATATCATCTCAGCCGTAAATTTGTTGCACTAAATACAAAGAAATAAACGTGAAAGATACATTGCTTCTATATTTTTAAATTTTTATCACACGAAATTTGCATAGAAAATGCTTAGACGTCAATAATTATTACCTATTATATATGACACACAGCGAACTCAGTGTCACCAATGCTCACTGGTCGAATATTCAACCGTTTACGTTAACTTTTTGCGCCAATTCGGTCAACGTATAGATATGGTTGATTAAATGGCCAAAGCGCGCATATATTGAAATAAGCATAGCAAACAAACTGGGCGACAATACACTTCCACGCGACTGATTAATTGGTCAAATTAATGTGGTCGATTTAGCGACCATCAATCTATAAAAGGTTAAAAAGGGCTTCCTATAGTTGTTTTGCTTTTAGATACATTTTGTTGGTGGTTCTAATTGTATCCAATCTTTTATTATAGATTCAAACGAGAGTTAACCAATTCCTTCGTATTTTCTTTTTCCATAGATGATTTTTTCTGTTTATGATTAAAGATTTGTGGATCTTCTTTAATAATTTTTCTGATAAAAAATATTTTTCTATTAAACCCTATACAGGGTGTCCCAGGCTGAGCGTGCATTAGACGTTTCTAGAGAACCACAATATCTAGATCGGAGATTTTTTGCACATCACAACGAGATCTATCGATTAAAAATATTTTTGATATGGCGGCACTTCCGGAAATATCGGAAGTTGACAGCAACTTTCTTATTTTAAATGGGTGCCCCTTTTTTTATTACATATTTAAATTATCTGTAAAATTCTATGAATTGATGTTAAACACTCTATACCTAACATTAACCGTTTTGGAGAAAAAAAAATATTTAAAATTTTTGAACAAAAATTATATATAGCCCAAAAGTAAAATTTAGTGATTAGCACAGCTACCGTGGCATAAATAGAAGACATGTAGCTATCTATTTCAAAAATTAAATTGTTCAAATGTCATATAATAATGGCGGTAGCTGTCATGAAATTGAGCGATTAAAAAATTATTATAAATCATTTTTTTCAAATGGAAACCCACTTTTTTTATTTCCCTAGTGAAAAGGTTTTTCAATTAGTTAATTTTTAACTATACATGTTCCTATACCTAAAATAAATCGTTTTTAAGTTATTTAAAATTTAGTTTGAAAACGTATATTTTTCTTGATTTTATCTAGTTAGTCTTATCGAGTTAAAGATTTTGCAATCATTTTTGGGGTAAAAGTTGTCCCCCTCACAAACAAAATTGATGTGTCAAAAAAATTACTCTGGCCGTCATGCCTTGCGGAACGTTTTCGATGGGCCACTCTGTATAACATTCGAACAATTTAATTTTTGAAATAGATAGCCACATGTCTTCTCTTTATAGCAGAATGGCTGTAGTAATCATTAAATTTAACGTTTAGACTATATACATATTTTTGACAGGCAGTTTTTTCGTCCAAAAATTTTATTTTTTTTTCTCAAAAACGGTTAATGTTAGGTATAGAGTGTTTATAAAGAATGTTAATATCAAAATTCATAGAATTTTACAGAGAACTTAAGTATGTAATAAAAAATGGGGCACCCATTTAAAATAAGAAAACTGCTGTCAACTTCCGGTATTTCCGGAAGTGCCGCCATATTGAAAATATTTTTAATCAATAGATCTCGTTGCAAAACAATGATGTGCAAAAAATCTCCGATCTACTTCTAATGCACGCTCAGCCTGGGACACCCTGTATACCATATTCATAAAATACGTTATAGGTTTGGTGCATTACGGTTGATTTTAAAAATTCCGACCGCAGCGCTCGATACGGCAGAATTTACAAGTCCCAATTTCCGCTTATGTCGATCGAATTGAAATAATATTTAACTCGTGGCTTTGTCATACCTAATATTTAAGTATTCAGGTTCAAGTATAGAAGTCTGTATAGAAAAAACTATAATTCTGAAGTGGAAATAAATTATTACGAGAGCAATATTAATATTATGTATAATAGACAAATACTCTCAATTTCTTTGTTAACTACAAAGTGAGTTACTGCGTTTCTATCTATTTCTAACATTTTTTTTAATATCAAATCACTTTTACGGAAACTTACTATTAATAAAACCTTACTAAAAACTCGATGTCACAAGGAAAATAACTGCGGTCTCCAACAGAAATCATTGTTAAAAACCGAGAAAGGAATAGTCAAATCTACATCGTTACTCATAAATGTTACGCAAACACTCAAGGTTTCGTTTATTGCTTTTTTGGTACGTAGGCGATCTAATTAACGACTCCATAATGCCAAAAATGTAAAAGGATTCTTTGTTAAAAAATAATTAGAGCGTGGAGTGAAGTTATTTTTGCATTTTCTGGAGCTTAAAGAGATATACTTTTTTAAAATTGTTTTTATAACATTCTGCTTACACCTACTATTGCAGAAAGATCTTATTGATAACACCAGCATTTAATAAGTGTTCTTGAAGAGTGAAAAATATACTAAAATGAGTATTACACTCACCGGCACGAAGAACGGCCACGTTAAAATACTAGTTCTAGTGTCAGTTTTTAGTATTGCAATGATTTTTGTACGCTTAAGTGAGTGAGGAATATGTTCTATGCGAAAGATGTTCGTGAAAAATTTTGCCAGCCATTGCTTCGTATAGGGTCCACAGTGTTTGAGGAACTCTGGGTGGATGCCATCAAATCCTGGTGCTTTTCCCAATTTAATTTCTTTTAGAGCCGTTGTGATTTCGCCAATTTCAATATCTCTCGAATACTCGGAGTAGCGCAGGCTTCCCACAGGGCCTTGAGGTCTCTTTTAACTTTAGTTGTACGTGTTCGATCTCGAGGGGTTCTGGACGTAACGACTATACGAGCAGCAACACTGTTAGGTGATACTCTATCATCTCCGCGTTCAAAAGGCTTGGCGCCTCCAAGCTTACGCAGCAGAGACCATGCCTGTCGACTTGATTTTTTGATGTCAAGATTTTCAACAGTTTCTGTCCATTTTTGGCGTCTATATATATTGATGTTGTGTAATAGATCGTCAGCTATTTCGCGATCTCCGCTTTCAAGAAATTCTGCTGGAAGTCTCATTCCATCCAGGTATATATTCCTTACGATATCCCATAGGAATGGCCACCTTCGCTGAGCTAATAACCGCTCCCACAAACCGTTCGTAGTTTTTGCTAACTGGAGGAATCCAATGTAGGGTATAGTCCAGTTGTTCAGAAAATTTTTCCCAGTTGGCCTTTCCAAGGTTCCATCTCGGTCGTGGGTGTGACCTGATTATCGGTAGGGATAGTCCTATAGTAATGAGCACTGGGCGATGCTGGCTGTGTGGAAAGTCTGAGAGAACACTCCTAGAAGTTGCGACTGGCCTATCATTCTCATCCCTCGATACAAAGCACAGATCCGGGTAATACTCCCGTCTCCAAGCGGCTGATACGAATGTACCCCGATCCTTGGCGTCAAAAATGAGGTATGTGTTCTGTTCCTCAGCCCACCTCGCCAAGGCTTCTCGGTTGTTGTCATTAGTACTATATCTCCACATTTCGTGGTGACTTAAAATCGCCAATGTATACGCTTGGGTGTGGGTGCGTTTTTATCACCCCAGGAGTCCAACCAGTAGCAGGGGGTTTATAGATATTAACAACTGTAACTGCTCCAATTTTGATGGTCACTTGGTGGATGTTATTTTGAGTGGAGGTATCAAGAAGGACAACGTTCTCTACATCGTTTCGCACTTAAGTTGCAACGCCGTATACTCTGTCATATGTGGCTCCTAGTAGGTCGTACCCAGAAATTTTTCCTCTTGATTCTAGTTGGGCTTTGTTTTCTGCATGGGTTTCCTGTATTGCTATCAGGTCAATATCGTTATCGTGCAGGATTTTCTGTAATATCTGGCATTTTGATCTGCTTATGCCTCCGATATTAAAATGGCAGATTCGGATGCAAGGTCCAAAATCTCTGGTCAGTTGGTCCCTAAAAGGACCGGTTTTAGTTTTCATACTGTAATTGTGATGTGAGGC